GTGTCCTCCTGGTTCATAGGTCAATGCTCAACCACTGAGCCACGCCGGTTGGGCTGTAAATAATTAATTCTCTGTATTAAGTGCTCCAGAAGCAGATACCTCCACTCCCTGGATAGTTTAGTAAGGATGATGGCCTTACTGGTACCTAAAAGGTAGATTCTGACTCATCCATAGCACAGTCATTGAACCTGTGCCAGTGACATATACTGTGATAGGACAAGTGCCCCAAAGCTATAGGAACTGATAAGGAATTCACAGTCCAGTTAGCAGAGGACAATAATGTTGTCTGTTTTGAAAAAATCGGTGTACGTAGAAGACTCCAGAGCTAGATAAGGGTTCAAAGAGATCACAGAACAGACCAAGCTTGACGTACATCCAGACTGAGCTTTAGGAGTTAGCTAGGTAATAGGGACCGTGGGCAGAAGGCTGGAGGCAGCAGGAGCACTGTCAGGAGCCTGCCCAGACTTCACTGTACACAGGTATTACCTGGAACTTGATACATTGCAGATTCTGAATCTGCGCATCTGGGTAGGACCTGAGGAGCAACATTTCCAAAAAGCCACTAGGTGATTCACTGTTGGCTGGCCCCCATTTGATTTATCTATATTGTTGAAAGTTTTACAGATGACCCCTTTTTCCCCCATTGACCCCCTCCTCCTCACTCCCACCCCCTCCCCAGGCCTTCACCATGCTATTGTCTATGTCCACGACACTGACCCCAATTTGAGGAGGAGAAGAGGTTTACCAGATGATTGGGGGCCGACGAATAGCTCAGGGTGGCTGGGGCTCAAGAAGGGGCTCAGAGTGCCAGGAGAGCCCCTCTTTCTCTGAAGTATTTGAAACATACAGAAAAGTGCAGAAAATAATATAAGCATGTACTATCCAGATTTTACACATGTTGACATATCTGCTTCATGTTTTTTAAAGACGTGGTAGAAACTCCTTCATGTTCCTCCGGTCGCCCACCCCCACCCTCTCCTCAATAGGACTTCTCACCTGGGGTCTGTTCATTCCAACACGTTTTTATATTTTCACATGTGTACGTGTAAATAATTAATATGTCACAGTTTTTTGTCTTTTATATAAATAACACTTCACACAGTGTTCTTCAGCTAACATCTTTTCTCAATTCTATGTTTTCAAAATTTGTATAGGTTGATATTTGGAGACATGGTGATACCGTTGTAATAATCTGGTTATTATTTAACAGGAAAGGAGTGCGGGGGAGACCAATAATATAGGCAAGCCGTTTATACAGCTGTGCCAGACAGCTGCAGTTATCACTCTCCAAGTCTGTTCTCTGCTGATTAGTGGAGGAAATAACCGGGCAAAGGCAGTTTATACGTGTGCCCAGTAAGGTTTAAGTGACATAGGAAGGTGCTTATCTGTCAGTCACACCTGGAAACAAGTCAGTGGCCACTGCAAGGGTTTGAAACCTAAATATTTAAACTCCTGGACAAAGAGCCTTTCTCTCTCTCGCCTCTCCTACTTGCCTACACTCCAGGGACTCCTGTTGCAGGGGCCCCCTCCCCTACATTTGCCCACGTGACTCACGGCCATGTGGGACCCACACAGTGGACCGAGGGACTTTAATTAGCCGGATGCTACATCGGACCCAGCTGCTCTGGATTCTGGCTTTGCTTTTGGCTGTGCGGAAGCCCCAGCTGCACCTGTTCCGGGAGTGGGTTAGGGGCCTGGGACTATACAACCCCAGGAATCTAATTCCATGCAAATAAAGTCTTTTACCACATCTCATTATCCCAAGAGCCCCACTCCCACGAGGGACAGGGAAATTGGGCCCACTCATCTCTCCGGTAACAATACATCTATTTTGAGCTGCTATTTTAGTAGTATTCCTATGAATTTACTATAGTTTATTCATCCATATCCCTATTAATGAAGTTTTAGGTTGTTTCCTTTTGTTCATCCTTAAAAACAGTGATTTGGTTTGGAAAATGGCAGCAGAGTAGGTGGATCTTTTTCCCACCTCCTCCCAGAATGTCACTGGAACTAAATTGGGGAACATTTACTCTGAAATACCAGCTGAAGTCTGGCTGAAGAGGGGACTTTTAACAAAGAAGGGCAGACACCACCTTGAGATTGGTAGGAAGGGCGGGGTGGTGAGAGGGGCTGGCCCAGCTCCCAGGAGCAGCAGGCCAAGGGTGAGGAGGGTTCCCCCAGACTGGAGAGAGGCCTGCACCCCAGGCAGGGTTCCCCAGCCTGACAGTCAGAGCCTGGGGCAGCTGCCCATGAAGCAACCAGTGGTGGGGCTTCTAGCAGCTGGGGAGCTGAGCCACCGGAGACAGAGTCACTGTTTTTAAAGGGCTGGCACATAGGATTTTCGTTCTCAGACACTCACCCTAGGTTCTTTCTGAGCCTTGTTTCCTAATAAACAGCTTAAAAATTCATATCCCCAAAAGGCACTTAAGGGTGGCAAAACTTTGGTTCCCTTCAGTTTCTTCATGAAAAAAGACTGAAGGCAATTCCTAACACAAGTCCCAAGAAAGAACCTTCAGCCCTAGCCGGTGTGGCTCAGTTGGTTGGACATCGTCCCGTGCACCAAGAGGTCATGATTCCCAGTCAGGGGACATGCCCAGGTTGTGGGCTTGATCCCCAGTCAGGGTGAGTGCAGGAGGCGCATGATTGATATTTCTTTCTCACATCAATGTTTCTCCCCCACCTTCCTCCTCTTTCTCTAAAAATCCAATAAAAACTTTTTTTTAAAGGAACCTTTAACCTTCCCTCCTTTCATGGCCAAGAGATTCAGACAGAGAAACCTGCTTTGGGAAGAGAGCTCAGGATGTCTCCTTAGCCTAATTCGAATTAAGTATGGTAACTAGGGGGCTTCAAGCCAGGCGAGTTAGCTAGACACCCTCTGTCCCACTATTTCTGACTTGCCTGGCCAGAATTTTCCTGCCATGTGTGTTCCACTCTTTCTCAACTACCTGTAAATTGCCCGTTCTCACTTCTGAAATCTAAGACACCTTCTCCTTTTTTCAAAATTGTCTTATATACCAAATGTTGCCTCACTATCTTTGGAATTTTCATGCTTATAAAAAATCCCCATGTACATACAGTAAAATTTTGATGTTTCTCCTGTTAATCTCTGTTAATTTGAGAATTAACCCAGCTAAAAGACTTAGAAGGTGGGAGGAAAGATATAGTTTTTCTTAGCCCCAACAAAACTTTACAAGGGTACTTTGAGCCTGAAGCATTTGTGTACTGAACTAAATATTTGGATGGCAGAGTAAATATAGTGAGATTTCTTTTAGGTCACCTGTCTGTTGAGTACGTGGTTTGCCTTCTTGTTCTCACTGTACCCCATTCTTGGGTCCTGGCACCTGCTCTTCTTTCCCTTCATCAGAGGCCATTGCTGTCCCCAATGGGATCAGCCAACCCCGTCACTGGCCTGAGCTCTGGGACCAGGTTCCTGACTTCTGCAGGCTCAGATGCTTCCCTCTGCACACAGAGACCAACACGTTGCTAATTCTTACTACCTACCAGACACTCAGCTCACACGCCTCTTACCCGTTCTTATCACCCAACATGAAAGCCCTTTTTTTTTTATCATGTATCACTTCTTCTCTTTTTATCCTTAGGGTCCATAAGATTAAAGTGTGGTTCATAAATATGTTGCTTTGATGATTAAACATAGTAGATATGAATTTTATTTATAAATTGATTATGGTTTGTGTTTTATAATCTATGTATTTGTAACATTATGTCCTATTAGTTCAACCACAGCACAAAACTGTTGACTGATGTGAAAATATTTCTCAGGAGAGCTGGAAACTTCCTCCCTGACCCACCTTCCAGCCCTTCCTCTATTGTTATCCATCAAATATGGAACCTGTATACTCACAACTCCCCACTGCACATTCCCTACCTTTCCTTGCTGTACTGAAGTCAACCTCTCCTGAGGATATCGGGCTATTCCTTTCCCAGTAACCCTCACCAATGGCTGCTCTTTGTTATCCTCAGACCTCAGGATCAGGACTAGAAGTTGCCTCTTCTCAGTCACTTCTACGGCTTTGAGACTCCCCTATCTGGCTAGTCTGTATTCTCTCCCTCTGATGTGCTGCATCTCACTCCTCCTGGCCAGTCCCCTCCTATGTGCTTTAATGACTTAAGCAACTGCTCATTGTCTTCACCACTCTATGTCCTACCATAATTCTGGTGACTTTAATGTTTAGATGGCTGACTCAACTCTGCAATTCTGACTTCTCAGTTCTGTGACTTCCTCAAATCCAGTGACCTTTTTCTCCACTCCACATAGCTCTCTCTCCCATGGCCACAAATTGTATTAGTCAGCTCAGGCTGCCAGAACTATATATATACATAGGGACTATTTCCCTGTAACTTCATTTAACCTTACTTAACTCTTAGCAACCCTATCTCCAGATACAGTCGTATTTGGGGATTAGGGCTTCAACATATGAATGGGGGAGAGGGGACAATTCAGCCCAAGTAATGTCCTGACTTCATTGTTATCATAAATGCCATCAACTCTGAGATTGATTATCCCAGCTTGAATACAGCTTTGTTGCTTCCAGATCCCAACTTAGGTACTCCTGTGGTAGTCTGTTAGACAGACATGAACAGAGCAAGGATGATGGGCCAGGGACAGAAGGTCACCAGGTAGAAAGCCACAGGTGCCTACCAAGGGGCAAAACTGGGAAAACAAGGACCTAGCTCCCAGGGTAACCTTTCCGCATCTAGCATATCCCTGGTCATGCAGTTTGGGGCCCCTGACCTTTCATATCACTGGTCATGTTGTTTACACCCTCTGACCTTTCATATCGCTGGTCATGTGGTTTATACCCTCTGACCTTTCATATCGCTGGTCATGCAGTTCAGACCCTCCCCTGACCTTTCCTCCACTGACATGTTGCTAGTTATGCAGCAGACTGTCTTTGAGGAAGAACAAGGGCTGAAGAGTGGCCTTGTCCAACTCCCATGCAGGCCCTTGCTGGACCATGACCTTAAGCATTAACCCCTAGGGATAACATCTAGGCCTCAGTTGTGTTTCAGCTCCAGGCCCAGAAAGGCAGCAAAACCAGACAAGTGATGCCATAGCTGACCTCAGAACCAGCTGCATTGACTAATGACCCTCTGCCCTGGTGCCCACCAATCAGCAGAGACCATGACCCTGAAGAACACACCTGGAAAGCTGATGAATATTCTACTGGGATCCGCTCCTGAGACCTCCAAATAAATACCCTCAAGACGAAGGACCCTGTGTAGCTCTCTCTATGGAGCACACCACACCTTTCCCCGCCCCATTCTCCCAGGCATGTTTTCCTTGCCCTCTTTCTCCTAAGCTCTAAGGACTCTTCTTTGGCCTCTGTAACTTGTTTCCTGAGCCCATTTCTTTTATGGCTCACTTCTACCTTTGTGACTTTCTAAATAAAACTTTCTCTTATAGTGTGAGTTTGACTCTGAATTCTTTCGCAGCCAAGACTCAAGTACTGAGGTTACTGAACCAAGATCTGGTCTGACTCCACCAATCTAACATCTGGTGCTATTTCACTGCCACTATACCTGTTTTCACTTGCACTGAGATTTTTAGTAGGTTAGCTTTTCTATGCATCTGCTTTTCTTTACCACCCTGCTTTCTTCTGTTTTCATTTCTCCCTTCTCTTGCCTAGACTCTTAGTCCACTATTTTCACCATATCTGGCTAACATCACGAACTCCATTGTTGTTCTAATGTACCACCCCTGCCCCCCCCCAAAAAAAAACTAAACAAACAAACCTCTATTCCTAGATCACCCTTACTCTCCCATTTTTGTTCCTAAGCCTAGGATGCAAGCCTTGCTGGAGAAAAGCATTTCATAGTGCAGGTGGTGTTAGCAAAAGTTTATGGTCAGCTGACTTGTACTAACACACTATGGAGCAGCCTTTGATATTTCCAAAGTCGGTGCCTACTTCCATCATTTACAGCTTCTAGTTTAGGACAATTCTTCTCATCACTGTGCCCCCCAACCCCAACTCTCAGTACTTTGAGCACAGCTGAAGCTCCACAGACAATGCCTAAAGGGGCCTTCCACACCCCTCCTGCTATCCAGGTTTCCACGGTTCTTTTTCCTTGTCCTGGGAACACTTTGCTGCTCTGACTTTATGTTCCGGGGACCTCCTTGGTCTCTCTTTTAGAATGTAGGGAGCAATTGATTCTGAATAGTTTATTGCTTGGAGGTAACAGAAACTCTCTCTGCAGATTTTTCTCTCTGCTTGAGAGCCAAGCAAGTGGAGGTTAGGTGCTCCAACCCTGCCTGGTTCAAGTTACTTAGCTCAGTTTGTACTTGCCTCAGTTTCTGCATCTATAAAACGGGTGTTACAGTAATACCTCTTAGAACATGTTCTAACTAAATAATAAATGTAATCTGGCCAGGCCAGAGTGGCTCAGTGATTGGAGCATCATCCCGTGCCCTGAGGGGTTGTGGTTCAATTCCAGGTCAGGGCATGTACCTGGGTTATAGGTTAGATCCTCTGTCGGGTTGCATTTGGAGAGCAGCCAGTCAATGTTTCTCTCTCACATTGATGTCTCTCACTCCTCCTTCCTCTTTCTAAGCATGTACTTGAGTGAGAATTTTAAAAAAGTAATCTGCAATAAGCATTCTTTCTTCATAATCATCCTCTTATGGGGGACGTAAAATATATCCCCATATACATAATGGAA